TCAAAATATCAAGTGTTAGAACTACAGAGTCATCACTCTATTATCAGTCCCACGGTAAGTCTTCAACACTATTTCGTCAAACAGATCGAAGGTCTCCATGGACGCGCCAATTCAAAATCAGCAGGCTGTATTCCGCAAAGAACTATTGTGTCCCGACCAAATCCAGACAAAACAGATCATTGTAGAACGATCAGTTGAATAGAAGTTCACCACTCTACATCTATTTCATTGACTACGAGAAGGAAATTCATAGTGTGCAAAGGATGACACAATGCGTAAGTGAGAAGATATAAAACATCATACAGAACTCTAATAACGAATTGAACTGCAAGTTCGTGCATGGAGGACAGCTCACAGACTCGTTCGAAGTGAAGATCGGTGTCAGACAAGGTTGCTTACTCTCACCCTTTCTCCTTCTCTTGGATGTCGACTGGATTATGAAGAAGTCAACGTCTGAGCAAAGCAACAGCAGCATCCCTACAATTGAAGAACATCTGGAAATTTAAATGGTTATCAACCAACACTAAAGTCAAAATTCTCAATACGAAATGTCAAAATAGTTCTACTATGTGGGGCGAAAACTTAGAGGACTACGAAATTCACCATCCAGAAGATGCAAGTGTTTGTCGACAGTTGTCTATGCAAAATACTTCGGACACATTAGTCAAGCTCCATCAGCAACAACCCATTGTGGGAAAGAACAAACCATATTCTAGCGAGGGAAAAAATCGGGAAGAAGCGCCGGAGCTGGTGGATAGGACACTCATTCAGGGAAGCACCCAACTGCGTGACAAAACAAGCCGTCAGTTAGAGTCCTCATGGCCGGTGGAAAAGAATAAAACCAGACACACATTACGCCTAGGAATGGAGACAAATATGAGAAGAATCAAAAAAATTGGGCAGAACTGGAAAGGAAGGCCCGGGACAGAGAAGTTTGGGAAATGCTGATTGGTGGCCTGTACTCCACTGGGGGTAACAGGTGTAAGTAACTAAGTAAATAATTACGCAATAAGACAACCATTTTCACTCTAACTAAATTAATTTCAATTAAAGTAAAATGAAAAATAGTGTTTTCCTCAATGCGGAACTTCTCATCGGCACTTTACATACTTCATGAGTTCTCTTTTTGTTTTATGCATCTTTTAACATGATGGCCTACCGTTTACTCTTTTCTGTCTATAACTTTCTGTGTCTAGGTATCTTATCGATTTCAAAAACCTCTTTTCGCCGACTGGACAACGCGAAAACTACAGCGCTTCAACAGTTGATACTGTCTAAACTAGTTTGCCCTATGATAAGTGACAACGGTGATGCCATATAGTCTGCACGAATCTAACAAGTGCAGCTTCCAAATGATTTGATAAAAAGAAATAAGTAGGTTTCTGCCATTAATGCTGCACGGGTGCAATCACCTTGACATATTTATGCCGCTATTATAAATAAATCAAGGAGATTGCATGAAAGCACTAAAGGAAGAAGCAGCGTACCATCATTGTGTGGAAACAGTTATATTGTTATGAACTAAGACGTTAAGACCAGATGCGATGAGTGATTTATTTGAAGGAAACACATTTCACTGATAAATTTCAAACTTCCATTCGCAAAACAAGCAGATTATCTGCAGTCTTCTTCTACATATCTTCTAGTCTTCTAAACACTCTGATTGCGCATCCAATTCTATTTATTCCGGTACTGCCTTCTGAACGACACCTCACTGTGACCATTGATAACAGTCAAGAAAACCCTAGCAAACCCAGTCACAGTGCTGATCTAACCATATAAGTCATCAACATTCACTCCGGTTTTCGTGGTAGAGTTAACACGACTCTAATTGCTACTATAATAAAAAATTGTAAACCGATGCTAATGAAGAGTAAGGAAAGGCTGAATGTCATTATATAAAATTAGTCTCCCCTAACTGTAGTTACGAAATCGGAAATTGAGCATAGTGGTAGTGCAGTTGGTTATCATGGAGACAGCAATAACTGCTGTTCCTATGCCAGACAGGCTTCGAGGGAAAATGATCCCCAAAACATTGAAAGGATCTTTCGATCTTCTGTTCAAAAGCTCTATCGGCGATTGGAACCGTGATCAGACAGACTTTTTCAAGCTGGATGTTGTTCCAGTCACAGAGACTTTTTTGACCCTATCTGTAGACAATAGATTATTTGATACATATAGTTTCCAATTATTAATATCTAATAAGATCCCGAAGTTTGAATGATTTGGAGTCTCTCGGTGTTTCGCAATTGCAAGAACCAAGCACATTTCTCGTAAATCAACTGGTGGTAAAGCCCCACGCAAGCAACTGGCTACCAAGGCTGCACGCAAAAGTGCACCAGCAACCGGTGGCGTAAAGAACCCCCACAGATATAGACTTGGGACTGTTGCCTTACGGGAGATACATCGTTACCAGAAGAGTACTGAGCTCTTGATCCGCAAGCTTCCTTTCCAACGTTTGGTCCGCGAAATCGCCAGAGACTTCAAAACTGACCTTCGTTTCCAGAGTTCAACCGTCTCAGCGCTCCAAGAAGCCAGTGAAGCACACTTAGTTGGATTATTCGAGGACACTAACTTATGTGCCATCCATGCTAAGCGCGTTACAACTATGCCAAAAGATATCCAACTTGCTAGACGCATTCGAGGTGAACGAGCCTAGATAAGTATCAATTTTATTCAAAACAATGTAACATTGAAAACTGTGCGACGGAAAACTTGTTCAGGAGTCTGTATGTTAGGATATTCATTCAATATCCTAAGACAATTATTTGTAAGTCAATTCCTATGGGTTAATTTCTACTGGTAGTCCTAACTGTCAGTATCGCATACTTCAATGATGTTTCCTATCCGACCTAACTGTATAAATATGCATTATCTGTAGCGTCTCGGGACCCGGATCCTCAGTCCGGGATCCTTATCCTCTTCTGGACTCGGACCTCGTACTTTCTGGATGTTTGTGGAATAAGCGTTCCACTTCATATCAAGTCCTTTTTCTTTACTCAGAGGGGTTTGAGACGCTCGGATTAGAGTAGTCTGCCTTGTCGCCAGATTATCGGTCCCCGCTCGCGCTTACTGACTAAGGTAAACTGGTTATATTTTAAGTAATTCAAATGACTTGCTTACGTACGTGCGAAACACTATGGAGTACCCTTAACTACTACACTCATAAAAAAGTCAATGGACTAAGATAAAAGACCACATCCTAAGTTTATAGATAAAACGCTCCTTATAGATTCCTTCATCACGGACTTTCGGAAGGTTGTTAACAAATTCCCATGAAACCGGCTTCTATCCGAGCTGAGTATTATTGAGGTTGGAAATCACTTACGAATGTGTCGAAAGTATTTCTTAGTTTAGTTCCAGACAACAGTACGAGTTAACTACCACTTTTCTAACATTAAAGCTGTGCTTAACCGTTTACCTCAGTATACAGTTTTCGCACAAGAACTGCATGTTTGGTGGAAGGAGATTAAAGTAAATTTCAGATGCCTTCAAACTGCTCCACAACACATATAGAGTGCCGGTTAACTACTAGTTGTCTAACTGTGTACATGTATATACACAGCGAACAGCGCCGAGCTACCTGTTACACAGACACACGACGACCTTGGAGTCATCGTTAGCTGGGAATCGTAATCCACCGAAAACTACCATTCGATAGCTGCCGGACGTTCAGAATCCTATGGCCAATACGGAGTCATTAAACCAAGATATTCTGACTGTGTGGGCAATATTCCTTCGTCCTAAACTTGAGTGTTGCTTACAATTCACTGGCACCTGTCTTAAAGAAGGCGGTGACGGTATGGTCAGAGACTGGTTAGAGTGAACCTATTTCCCTTTTCTTATAAAAGGACTGGGGGTGACCCAAACAGTATTATGGCTTACTTTCTGATAATCTTCATTCGACTTACCCTGATTTCGGTTGTCTTCTAAAGCAGAGAATGTTCACATGCCCAGGACACATTACTTGCCTGGTATCGACTGTCCCTTCGGGCCGTAAACGAGTGGAACTTGTCCTCCAACCTGTTACCGAAACTCCACCTACTTACGTGTTCGTAAAAATTGGATGAACTAAGAGGCCTTAATATTCGAGACGCAGCCAGGGTTAATTAAGATCTTCCCTTTATGCGAAGACAACTTGGTACTATCACCCCACAGTTATTCTTAACGTTGTTTAGGACGAATGAGCGCCCCAACTTTGAGGTTTACAACGTCATCGCACTACCTCTACTGAAAAGAGACAAAAATCTCTTGGATCAAGTGCAGAGACGAGCAACGAAATGGATGATAGGGTTGAAGAACAAACCATGAGAACAGAGACTCCACCAACTTGGATTCTTACCCCTGAGAGACAAGAAAAGCAGAGATGAACTTATAATGGTGTAAAACATACTAAGTACGCCAAACCATACCAACATGAGCATCTTACAAAAGCATCACCACTACGCATCCAACAGCGAACACTAAGGTTCGTGCATGTTTTCTTCATTAACAGACTTTGCAACATACAATGCTCTGCCAGTAGATATGCCTTCGCCATCTCCTCAGATCACTAACCTAATTTATCTCGCTTATTATCTATGTTTCCTCTCCCATGTTTATGCATCGGTCCCCTCGCACAATCTTCCCAACCAATTAATAAACGAAGTTCTCTGATTATTTACTTGGTTCTCAAATTCTTTTCTTATTAGCACTGGAATTTTGTGTTTGTTATTCTATACATTACAACTGACTGATCTCCGGTCTGGTAATGTGATAGCTGTTGGTATCCAGAAACCCTACTGCCCTGAAACAAACGTGTTCATTCAAATCACGGGACATAAACTCACAAACAACTGCCAGCTGACTAGAATTACACAGTCGAGTAGCTAGGTACCCATTCATTGGACACTATCAAGTACTTTGAACCGTACTAGAGAAACAAGAATCGATAGCAAAGAAATCAACTGATTTATACTAGCTCGTGAAAAATATATTGGCACTTGCTCTACAGCATACTTTTCGTTTTCAAGGTCAGCCCCTGAAAGACCAGTAAACTTGCTTAAGCTTCTTCGTGACTCTACTTTTTGTTCAACCAATTCTTATCTAGAAAATGAAATCAATTTGCATTCCACTAAATGATGTCCAACTATGCATCTTATTGCTTTTCGTACAGCATGATACTATAATACAAAAAATTGTGTCTACTGATTATTACTAGCTTAAGTATATATATATATATATATTCGCTTAGAGGTCGAGTATTCTTGTCAATTCCGAGAATAAGATTACGATACCAAAATTTAATACTTCCTGGATTTTTGCTTCGCCTTTGTGTAAAATTTTATAGATTACGCAATCTTCATTTTTAGGTATAAGATATGTGCATCCAGTTTGATTATTTTTCATACTGAAACAGAAAACAGTTCAAAACGGTTTAATATATCGAAAAAGCTCATGAATTTTTGTCACTTGACCTTTCCATCTATTCTATTCAACTTTTATGAAAGCAACAAAGATTCGACAGGCATTTTGCCATGGCTTGTGGTCACCTACTAAGTCTGAATTTCTTTTTTCTCTCAACTGTCTTTCTCTGAGTGAGCAGCAAGTAGCTTTGCGTTTCGCCTACCAACGAGATGTACTCAGTTCCATAGTATGTCAATCTATATTTCTCAATAACTTGATAGGTTGGAAAGTTACTTATCCGTGGAACGGCTGTACGATACCTTAAAATTTCTCCACATGATGTTAAACTGGATCGTTCCTTGGAGGGGAGACCATATTTGTTGGATCATTCTGACGTGTTGGACTTCAATATTTCACATGGTGGTGACTTCACCATAATTGCCGCAACTTCTGGAGGCCGATGTGGGGCTGACGTCATGCCCATAGAACTTCCACGTTAGTTCTCTCTATGTATCGTATTTGATTATGTTATACCTAGCTATGTTGGCTGTAGATATAATTATTTTGTAATGAGTGAAGTTAATTGATTTTGCGTAATTTATAGCCTTCATATTTTTGCAATACCATCGTGGAATAACATGCATAAAGATATTAATATGGATTTCTCCTTTTCAAAATTCGTACAGTTAATAATCTAGTGACATCCCGATCTCAGAAACAGTCAGTGCTGAAGAAATATTGAAGATTCGAATTAACTTAAGAATTAAACATTTCGAAGTTATTTGAAACATACTTATTACTACCCCACAGTAGTTAATCTATCATTCGGTATTTAATTTAGTATTCCCATACACTTATATCTTGCTGAAGTAGATTTACTCGGTCTTAGCAATCTCAATCCACTATTTTTTCTCTGTAACCTGTTTTTTTTGTTTATAAATCTTGATCAGCGTTTCAAAGGTCCGTAAATGAATTCGTTTTAAAGATGAAGAACACACTTTCTTCTGCAGAACTGGACCGTATTTTATCTCCTGGATCCGAAGCTGAAAAAATAAGAAGATTTTATGAACACTGGGTAGGTGAAATTCCATCTCTACGTAATAAGTTTGATACCGATACATGTTCATTGTTAATTATCGTTTAGTGCGTATATATTGGTTTTTTCAACAGGATGAGATTATGTTTGGCTATTCAACCTGCAACATCTATTGAACTGTACGTATGGCATCCTTTTGATTTACATTAGACTACGATTTGTCGGACTGCATGTATTTTAAGCCTGATATCTAGCTGATGGTATTTAGTATTTCTTCCTGTTCTTAGAATATGAAGTGAACATAGCCGAAAAGTTTTCTGCTAAACGGTATCAAGAAGGTCATAAAAACTAAGTATGGCTTTTATATCGTTACAAATGTATTCCTTCTGGAATGGTTTTGCGTCAAACTGTAAGATGTGTAATTACTGTCCATACGTTATAAAACCCAGTCAACCTTTACACTGTCACCTTTGTGTTAAAAAGAATAATAGTATGAATTCTAACTTACTATTCATTATTTCTTTCAGTGTTTTAAGGAAGCTTATGTTAAAGCTTTAGGATGTGGAATTCGTATCCCCTTAAAAACAATAGAATGCAACTTCTCTGATGATGGTGGCAATGAACTCTCAATTGGTAATGGGCTCAAAAATCAGTCACATCAAAATTGGACATTTGAGAAACATAGTTTACCTGAAAATCACTTGGCAGTAGTTGCTTGGTTAGAAAATAATTATGTGGTAAGTTCTTGAGTACATTACAGTTACAATTTACTTAGAGAATTATTTGTAATTTCCCATTCAAGCGAACCATACTTTTCTGTTGTTATTATTTTATGAACTCTAATGTATCACTTTTCCCAAAACGTTATTGAAAATCAGAGTATTTCCTTTTATCCAATTAAACTATCCTGTTAATCTCATATTACAAATTGCCTATCACTAAGTATTTGGACCTTATTAAAATTTATGTAATTTTCGCTTAGTTACTTAAATTATCTATATTCAGATAACAATATGCATCCAAAATCTACACGGAAATTATCGATAATAGCAAAATCACTACCTGTTTATTCCAAAGAACAGATGATATTAATGACGACCTGCATCACTCCGTTAGGGTACCGTAACATTTTGATTTAGAAATAACACCTTGATTCTTGAATAACTTTTAGTGACGTAAGTCACCGATGGTTAGAGACCTTGTACGACAGGGCTCAAAATCGTTTGCAGTGGCGCAGGTGCATCCACTCTTTGTGTTCTCTCAAATTTTAACCTGAATCCTTCATCATCTCTGTCTTTCGCTTTCTAAATATATCACTGAATTATACTTCTCGAATCATATCTTCGCTCCCTAATCTTCTCCATTACTGCTAATACTTCTACTATCGCTACCACTATGTGATTTGAACTGACAGTTGCGTCTCTGTGCTAATGCAGTATGGCAACCTGAACTGATGTACCTACGTACGAAGTTCTGCGTTGTATCTGTATGTCTGTCTGTCTGAATAGCTTCTAAAAGATCATAATTTCTGAAACAATCTACGTAAATATATTTTTTCATCGTTATCTATTCAAGAAAATCTCATGTAAAGGAAATTAAATACAGCATAACGATATTTCCCTTTCCACTGTAATTATCTTACAAAAGGCTGCTTTTTTAAATGACAAAAATATTCCATAGGACTTATTTTGGTGTGTTTATAGCATTTCCCACAATATCCCAAAAAGTGGCTGAACATTAATCATTTGGGAAGATTCATTGAAGGTTATAAATCGTATGCACATATAAGTAACCGTATAATATCCCCACCCCTAAAAACAGTGGGTATTGCGCGAAGCGTAGTACATGCTGATAATGCATGGTTGCGAAGTCACGTCATTTTTACTTAGTCTCCAGCACTTTCTAACCAGAATTTATTTTTAAAAACTTTAGTATTAATGTTTTATGTTTAATACACACTTCCTTGTGAATGTTTTTCCTTTTTTACAGGATACCAAGTCCATTACTTCATTTTCCCAACTGACATTTGAACAGTTAGTAGATAAGTTAGCAATCCTATCTCCTGTGAATAATACTGCTTGGGATCAATTTTTAAAGAAGCCTCATTCACCACCATCATCTCGTCAACGACTCCAAGTTAATTAATTTATATTTAATTAATTTTTCACATTTAGTCTTTAAAAATATATGTCGATCGTTGATGTTGAGTTATAAAGTATTTTATTTAAGAAAAAATTTTGTAAAATTATGAAATAAAAATTTTACTGCTCCACTTTATTTTAAGTTTCATAAGCCATTAAGGAAAATTAATTCGAAGATCAACTTTAGGTAAATCATTGGACCATATTAAAAAATCGTCACTGTAATCAGGTTTGATCTGTTCATCTGTTGGGTAGGATTCCCAAGCAGTTCCAAATAGATGCACCAAAGCTGTTGTCAGTATAAAATAAATAAATTGATGGGGTACACATACAGCATATCTTTGAAAAACATTTTGTACCCAATGTTCAGGCAAATTCAACTCTACAGTTCTCGAATTTTCGGCATCGGGTAGTTTTTTGATGAAACGATTCGGATCAAATACTCTTTGAGGTTGGATTTTTGTAGACCCTTCTTCAATCTCATCAGCAGTCCATAGATCTGGGTCCAAGTAGTAAGAAGATTCATCGAGAAACACTAGTTCTCCTTCACGAAAGTCGTGCTCTAGGATTTTTCCATCGCGTAGGGCTTGGCGTAGACTACCAAAGGGCCAACCAGGCATACATAAACGCATTGTCTCTTGAACTAAAGCCTTTGTCCAAACCAAACACTTTGTATGCTCCAAGGACATGCAAAGATGTGACTAAAAGAGAAGATACTTTAACAATTACCTTTGAAAAAAAAGTATGGGGAAAAACCACCAAAAAATAAATAAAATCTTCTTAATGTCTCACACTGCACCATCTAGAATATGCCTTAAGTTATCTCAATCGTCATAGTGATCGGATCTAAATTTGTTTCTTCATAATCATTCAAACCAAGTACCAATAACGATAACAGTCTTGTTCTCTGGTTTGAATTTCTCCAGTATTACTATTGTTTCACTGCCATATTTGCACAGGTTAACGATTAGAGACATAGCAACATTCGATGGAATTAATGTAATAAGGTATCTTGCTTTAAAACCTGAATTGATGTATTATCATCTCGTGTTTGACTATGACTTATCCAAGTGACTCTGTCACTGTGTCAAGGGAATATCTTGTCACACTAACCACTTTAATCAGATACTATATCGCCTAACAGATGAGATAATTTTTTGATAAATTATATACTATCTTCCAAATTTGTCTGTAGAGTCGATATAATAAACCTTTGATGGCGTAGGACCGTTTACACAAATAGATCTAAATTTGACGATTACTTTAATTAAATTCATCTTCAATAAAACGGATTTCTTTCTGTTCTGACTAAACTTTTCAATCAGATATATCATAGCTATAATTCTTAGACCGATATTTTGAAACAAACGCCCGCTGCATCCACCTGTCAATTGCAATAGATTATACTCTCAGTACTTTTGATCATCTAAACGAGATCAATGTTTACCGTTAGTGTAATCTTATTCACCATATAACGTATATGAATCCTTACGTACCAGGTTCAAACTACAATATCCAGTTAACTTAGCTTGAAATCCGTATTGTAAACTTTCATAATTTTTTGTTCAAGACGTGTAAGAGAAAAGTTCCTAGCAGACTTATTATCATTGAATAGACAGTTTCATTCTCTGAATAATTTATCCCTGGAAGTTTAAATTAAGTGAGAAACTATGAATCTAGCTTCTCTTACCTTTCGATACTCAATAACTACACATGTTAAGTAAATTCCCACCCTCTTGTAAACTCAAGCCTCTATTATCTACATCTTTAAATATTCACATATTGATCGCCAAACTGTATTTTTAGGGAAATTAATAAATGTGTATATTTTTGTGATTATTTTGTACTAATAATAAGTAGATGGGATGCATTTACGAGGCCAACTTATAATGTTCAGTCAGTCAGATGCAACATAGAACTTCGTACGTAAGTACATCAGTTCATGTTGCCATACCACATCAGCACAGAGATGTAATTGTCAATTCAAATCCAATAGTAGGAGAGGTAGTAAATGTATTAGGAGTAATCGGAGAGGTTAGGATTAGAAGATACTATTCAAGAAGTATGATTTAATGAGAAAAGTTTAGAAAGTCAAAACTAGGGTTGTTGAAGAACCCAGAAGATTAGGATTTGAGAGAACACAAAGAATAAATGCACTGGCGCCATTGCGAACGAGCCATGTCATCCAAGATCTCTAGCCATCGATTATTATCATCTCGCGGACCCCAACCAGGTAGTCGACAACTCCCGACATGGCTAAGTCCACTCGTCAATGACTTCATGGATTTCTGCCATGTTTTGGTTTGGCCGCCCCTAACTTTCTTCCAACCTATTCCTACACTACAAAACAAAGCTCGACGAGGCAGTCGGTGGTTAGGCATACGTAACACATGTCCCAACCACCTCAACTGATGAAGTTTCATTACTTCATCTATTGACCTGCCATCCCTACCTAGCACCCGATTCCTAATAACAGCGTTACTCACTCGGGTGTCCCACGATATACGAGCAATGCTTCGAAGACACGTATGATCGAAAACCAGTAACCTACGAATATCTTCCACTCTCACTGGCCATTTTCACAGCCATAAAGTAAGATGGAGCGAACTGCTGCGCAGTACACTCGTCCTTTAGTCAGCAAACGAATATCTCGCCTACGCCATAAGTGACGCAACTTGGCAAAAGCCAATCGAGCCTTCTGTATCCGAGCTGAGATTTCTTCAGTCACCAGGCCATCGGCACTGATGAGACTCCCAAGATAAGTGTTCACTCCGTGTGTCTATTAATCGACTGAATTCTGTGAATTTTAGAGGAAGTTACAATTCGGTTATACAGTCAATCTAATGTAAACTATAATGATAAACCATTCAGTGAGTATTATTCAATCAACATCAATTCTACTTTGTCTAAACTACTTGACATATATATAATCAAGCAATGAGAATATATATATATTATACAAATAAATTCAATGAAATTTAACTCACTGGAGGATGATTGCATAGTGATGTAAACTTTTGTGTTTTATAATAATTATATTGCATTTCTAAAAATTGTTTACATTCTTTTTTTACATTATCTTGCCATGTTGGTTTAATAGCTAGAATTGTTAATAGAATTTTCAATGTTTTATTCATGCTATACCTAGTTATTAAACAACATTCACTAAGTAAATGAATAATATGTGTTAATGTTAAAAATTCATTCGAACTTCCTTCCTCTTTCAAATAATGATGTGTAATAATAAGTTGTAGTAATAAATTTGTTGGTTGTTCGCTTATTTGTAAGCTATCTAAATTCTCTGTTGAATTGTTAATATTTTCTTTGATTGTTTCATTGTTCAATGATTTATCTAAATAATAGTGAATTAAAGGATTTATGAGTCTGTGAAATATAGTTATTAACTTATCCGTATTATAAGAAGATGTGTTGTTGTTGAGAAATGGCTTTAAAATTGTTTCAAATACATTAGATTTTTTTGTACAATCCCCGTGTATATGTAAAGATTCCAGTGAGATGATACATTCTCTTAGATCTGAAATGAATTGTTCTTTACCAAAATAAAATGTATTGTCTGATGTAGTTTCGCAAAAAATTTCTAATGGACCGAAAAAAAATATTTCCGAATATAAACTGCATATCCATATATCTAAACGGTTTTCAAATGTTGCACAGTTGTTATTACTAATTAATATCGAACCAAGTGATTGAGGATCAGCTCCTAAATGTCCGATACGTTCAAATATTTTAATTGGTAAACTATTAAACGCCAATAACATTAATTCGTTCAATTCAGATCTAAATTGTAAAGTACCATCAGCAATCATTAAACCGCACCATTTTCGTCTGAATGATTCTAAAGAAAAAAAAGAAACAAAATTTATAAACAATATTGTTGATATCGGTTAATTTCTTTTTATTATTAAAATAATATATCTATAGTTTAACTTTCATTGGAGATGAAATTTATGACAAGTTTCTTACTAACTAAAGTTCATTAACTGGATTCCAACATTTGACTAAAATATTTTGGACTATTCATTGTTTTTTCATCAATGTAAACGTAGGAATTTCGTACGATTATATTAGGCTATAGTTTAAAGATTCAAACACTAGACTCTTATCTAATAATTATACGTCTTAAACTGGCCAAGATTTAAGCATCTAAGTTGAGGTTGACAAAAAAAAAAATGACAATTATTCTTCAGTTTAAAAAGTTAGGTGTGATTGCAGGATCACACTATTTGAAGCAAATCAGAACCAGCATAGAATGTATGGTGGATATACGTCTGTCCATATTAGCACAAAGATTAGATAATGTAGCTATACATCGTACATTTACACTCTTTGTCAATTAAAAACGACAACATTACATTGAACACTCTATTTGCACACCATCTTTGAGTTGTGACTTTCAACGCTCCATCGTTCTTCCATTTCTGCAGTTGCTTCCTGTTGGTACTCTATTTATTTCTTGCTTTTGCTCCATTTGCTTTCCGTTTTCCTCTTCTGACCGTGAGACTTCTCATACTACTTATATCGTTCGTATAAGTAGCACACACTACAGTACTACAACTTCCTCGTATTATCTAAACCTTTGATCTTTAAATTGCCTTTTAAAATTTTTGAACACGTTACCTTCTTATTTAAAAATAGTTGTAATTAATTTAAACATATCAAATCAATTGTACTCCTGGTTCCTGGGAATCAAGTTGCCCGTTCTGAAACTACAGTTGAAATATCTACATGGTTTTTATTCTCCATAAAATCTTTGAGTTTAAATTCGTCAAATAATTGATAAACTGTGAAAACTTGCTATTCGTATCACTTAATTCTGAGATTATATATATATATCAGTCAGTCAGTCAGTTACAACGTAGAACTTTGTACGTACGTACATCAGTTCAGGTTGCCATACCGCATTATCACAGAGACGCAACTGTCAGTTCAAATCACATAGTGGTAACGATATTAGAAGTATTAGTAGTAATGGGGAAGATTAGTGTTCGAAGTTATGATTTGAGAAGTCAGAAAGCGAAAGTTAGAGATGATGATGGATTCAGATTAGAATTTGAGACAACACAAAGAGTGGATGCAACTGCGCCATTGCAAACGATTTTGAGCCATGTCGTTCAAGGTCTCTAATCATTGGTGAATTACGTCTCGCAGACTCCGACCAGATACCTACATCTACCAACATGACTCAGTCCACTTGTCAGTGATTTCATGGATTTGTGCCATGTTTTGGTCTGGCTGCCCCTAGCTTCCTCCCAACCTACTCCTACATCAAAAAGCATAGCTCGTCGAGGCAGTCAGTGGTTAGGCATATGCAACACACGTCTCAATTGGTGAAGTTTCACTACTTCATCGATTGACTTGCCATCCCTACCTATTACTCGTTTCCTAACGACAGCATTGCTTACTCGGCTGTCCTAGAATATACGAGCAATGTTTCGGAGACACCCACGATCGAAGATAAGCAACCTACGAATATCTTCTGCTCTGACTGGTCATGTTTCCCAGCCATAAAGTAGGACAGGGTGAACTTTTGCAAAGTACACTAGTCCTTTGGTTAGCAAACGGATATCTCGCCTGCGCCATAGGTGACGCAACTTGACAAAAGCCAATCGAGCTTTCTGTATATGTTCTGAGATTTCGTCAGTCAACAGGCCAAGCACTCATGAGACTCCCGAGATAAGGTTATATATATAACAAGCATTTATGAGTTCAATTATAGTAGTTCGGTGTTTCCTACTACGTAAATAGACAAGTGCAGTGAAACTGTTAACAGGTGATATAGACTTATAAATACTATGATTTTGCTCAGTACTTTTCACAGTGGGTCGAAATTACTATTAGTGCTCCAATAATCCGCTCTTTGGAGGTCTCACTATTTCGCAGTGAGTTTTTAACTAGGCGGTAGACTTTAGAGATAGCTTTATCTAGAAATTACATCACTATTAACATCTAGTTAGATAGTAGTACAACCCCGTAACCAAGAACTGCAAGTGTTAAAAGTATTAACTGACAGCTCAACACCCACATGCAACAGGAAGGTGCTCTGATAACAAGAATTAAAAGCTAAATACTAAAATCACTGATCCTATAAATTAAATAAAAACTTAAATGCAGGTGTAATAAATCTTTTACATAAACTTACTAAATTATGGATTCTGAAAATAATGTTCAGCTTTGTAAACATGTCCTATGTTATACACGTACCATAGGCAACCAATCCAGTGACAATAAACATTGTTACTATTTCGATCAAATTAGGGTTATATATTAACGACAAATTACTGCTACTAGACTGTCGTGATTATGGTTGTATCCATATTTACACAAAAATAACAAAACATATTTTAAAAAACTTACTCGGTGAGTTTGTTGGTTGCAAAGAATATTGATATAAAACCGATTGTAGCAAAAATATCATTCGACGTTTGCAGCCTACAACACTTAACTTATTTTACGTTAGCTGTCGATGTAGACAGTAGTGTCATACCTTCTTGACTTAACTTAGTCCTGAACTAATAACTGTTTATCGGTAAATTTCATGCTTCCCAAATAGTCATTTCATAATTAAAATGGACTTTAGCTATCTCCTGGAATTTTTAATGAAATTTATGCAACAAACTAAATAGTTTATAATAATTTACTTTCGACCACTTCATGTTGGTGAGCGAGTATAGTCTAATTTTTCTTCTGTCGAAATCAAAAACGTCTTAATTGCTCGAGTACTGAAATTACTTTACGTTGAACATTAATAGCTCCAGTTTATGGCCTCTACCCTAAGCACAACACAATCTATGGAGACGAATAACAACCACAAGAACGTTCAAACAATTAATTCTTATAATTTCAATAGACTAATTGAGATGTTAAAATTCCATATGTCTTCATTTGCTACAATTTGTAAATCTACTAAGAAAAGTGAAATTATGAATAACTTTTCCAGCTAATTTGCGCAAAACCCACCGTAATCTGAAAAAAAATATGTTAGCCCACGTTTTGAAACAAATTAGACGTATCGAATCCTGATGGCCAGTCTTTATAAAAGTTCTCCATAAGAATTGTCAATTTATTAACAAATAGTTTCTTCTTACAATATAGCAACACTTTCCTCAAAAGATCTTTCCATCGTATCTCATCATTTTAACAGGCACTATCCTTTATCTTAAGACTGCAAAAGAAATTCTTTAAACATTTTGCGCCATCGTTTGTTTAAGTGTAGGATAAACACACAAGGTATTATAGATTCCGTTGAGGAAACTTTTTGAGTTCGCTGAATAGTCATTAAAACCCAATGGTAGCTATCATTATCTTTTTTGACAAGTGTGATTCACTTTAATAAACAGGTTAGGAAGTCAAACGTAAAGTCAGGTAATATTTTGATATAAAATGAAGAGCAAGAAGATAACAGATACATTATTTTAAACTTACTTGGGGCTAAAGAAAAGTGAAGATCCAACAAAGGAAACTGGTTACAAAGAGATATTAATTCCCGATCTTCAACAAAAAGAACCTCTTGCTTGTCAAAATAACCTCTTACTAGAGGGGACTTTTTTCTTCTATATGTATAGGATGATGTCAAGCACGATGCTCCGTTTTGACATAGATCGTCGAAACTGCGAAAGTTTAAACGCTTATCTATCGGAGAATTATTATAATGCTTCAAAGTTTCAATTAAAAGTTCACAATTACTTACTTTTCTTGAAATACGCCATGCTATTAGGAACAAAAATACTAGGAAAGATAGTAAAGTAGACACTATTTTTAGTGTTAAGTCCAGTGACCGGCTTTCAGTGAATAAACCCTTGTAAGTATACAATCTGGGTGGAGGTTCCATCGATGCTGGAATCAAACAGAAAAATAATTGGAACGATGTTTTCAGTTAATCAACAATATACTATGAATGTTGATTTAACATGGAAAGGTAACGTAATCATTAGCCAGAAGGGTGAACTCCGGATCACTTTTTACATACGGACTATTAATTATGAGACTATTGAGATGGTACTTGTCCATCATTAATGATAATGAGATAGCCATGAAACCGCTTTAAGTCCGTTCACAATTATAGCAATATGAATTCTAGATCCTACCTTAAAATTTTAGCTCATCTCAACTATGTCAGACCGCAATCCTGATCACTAAATTGCCGTGATGGTTAGAGCTGTTCAAAGGAGAGACGCATTAATAGACTTTTCACCTAAATTATTTCAGATTCCTGTACTGAATGAAACCACAAGAAATATCATTGCTGGTAGGACGCAAATTAATAATTAACAAATCAGGAGATTTGAAAAATGGATTACAGTATATTCGTGCCGCTTAATTCAGTTTATCATTAATTTACTTATGATACTTTGGTTAAATATGATATCAGTGCATCAGAGTCTTCTGATTATCTAGTCATCGCCCAGATAAAATCTTTCATAGATGAACTATTTTCACATACACTGACTTATCTGCAGCAGTGAGTCATTAACCACAATGCGATCGTTTTGACAGTATTTCGGGTAAATCAAATTACAATTTCGATTTGACCATAAAAATGATTCCTAGGTCTAACTTTAAATACATTATAATGTACTCACCAAACAGGTGAAACATTATTCCAGCCAATATTCTAGAACTTCCTTCTTGGCCATGTCAAATCTCTGAATAGAGTCTGTTGAGAAGAACTGAAGCTTAAAGCCACATTTCCGTTTAGTTGACTTTTAGTGCAAAATTCGTTAGTTTAATCAATTCAGGAGGGTTTTCAATCATTCTTATAATAGTTCCTTTCCAATTTTGTGAGACATTTATTCACTTTGATTTCTTTAATTATTAATCAGGTGAACTAGAAATGGAACAAATTACCCTTGGTTTCAGCCAGTAAATATTTTTTATATGATTACTGTATTAGAGTGAGAAGCATTAAGAAGGAAAAAGAGCTTCCATTTCCCGGTTAAAAAGGCAAAATCAGCAACGCATGCTGTCATCTTAGAAAAATTCGACATCCCTAAAAAACTTGAAAAGTAGCTCCGAAACTTAGGTGGTTGCTTAACATCACAATGAGGTCGAAAATTAGTTTCAAAACAAGTACTGCGTACAGACAATGTATGTTATTCCGTAGACGCGGTACAAGCTATGATTGCTGTGTAATTTTGGTTTGATCATCTGTATTTATTCTGACTAGAAATTCTTTATAATTCAATAATTATTATAACTGATACAAATAGCTAATGGTCCGCTACATATCATTTTTCATCAATAAAAGACTTAACAACTAATATGATATTATAACAAGCACTAATATTAACAAACATTATAGAAGCATGCATGAAGACCTGAGAAATGTTCCACCGTATCCAGAATATACAGTAATTAGCGTTATAGCTCTAGTGTAAGGTAAAAGTTATAAATAAATGGTTCTCATATCCATAAAGCTGATTATTAAAATTTTAACTATTACGATGAAACTCTGAGATTATTTATTTTCGACAGAGAACATAACGAAAATCACCTACTAATTAAATCATGTCTTGCAATTGACAAAAAATCGAAAATGTCACATATAATGCCTCCAGGTTTGACCTTCTGTTGAAAGACTTTAACAAGTTCTACAGATTGCAATTTCTTCATATGGAACAGTGATGAAACAACCTACTTTTCGCATCTCCTTCTCGTTGTTTTGATCCGTTCCCAGGTCTCTAATGATATTAAGTGGTGATAGTACAGTCATTCAACCACACTAGTTTAATCAATTTCAATATCTAATATCTATTTCACGAGCTAGTATAAAACAGTTGATTTCTTTGAGCTCGATTCTTATTGCTTCGGTACGGTTCCACGTATTCAGCAGAGTCCGATGGATGGTGGTCCAGACACTGGTCTACATTAATTCTAGTCAGTCGCCAGCTGGTTGTGAGTTTGTGTGTCCCGTGGATTCAATAAACACGTCTGTTTCAGGACAGTAGGGTTGCCGGATACCAGCAGCTGTCACGTTACCAAACCAGAGATCAGTCAGTTTCAACGTGAAGAATAGTGAGAAATCTCTAATGTTAGTAAGAAGATTTCAGAACTAAGTAAATATATAGATAATTTAGTTTATTAATTGATAGTGGAGATTGTGAGATGATTGAAGTGTAAGCAAGGGAGCGGAAACAAAGATAATAAGTAAAATACATTAGGCTAGTGATCTGAGATGGCACTAATAACAACTAGCTGATCCCAAGGTACGCATCGGGCACAGCTTATCCACAAGAGAGACGATAATCCTTATGTAAGCACATGATTATCAAGTCTTCGTAAAGCTGTCCACTGAGGGGGCTGTGGTCACCTTGGCTGAGAGAGCATTCCATGCTGCCACGACTCTTAATGAAAAGGGCGTGAACGAACCTTAGTATTCGTATTTGATGTGCAATTTTTTGAGGAATACCTCGTGGAGCGTGGTTTTGATGCATTGGTAAGATGGGGTGGTTTGGAGTGCTTAATATGTTGTACGCCATAGCCAGATCACCTCTGATTCTCCTGTAACTCGGGGGAATAATCCAAAGTGCTGGGGTCTATCATCGCGAGGTTTGTTCTTCAACCCTATCACCAATTTCATTGCTCATCTCTGCACTCAATCCAATAGATTTTGTCTTTTTTAGTAGATGTGGTGCGATGATGTTGTGTACCTTCAGGTGTGGGCACGCGTATGTCTTACATTACGTTAAGAATAATTGTTGGGTGATAGTACCAAGTTGTCTTCGCATAAAGTGAAGAGCTGCATTAGCCTTGGCTGCGTTCCCGTATATTTCGAACTGGTGTGTAGGCTTATAGTAGTTATTAAACCGAGATCGCGCTCTGAGACACTAGGGAGCGGACTTCCGTTGAGGGTAACTCGTTTGTATTACATGGGGCAGAATGTTCAAAAACGTGACATTTCGACTGGTTTAGTTTTAAACCGTTTTCCACTGCCCATTCCTAAATGGATGTAGGGTACATTTGAGGCTCAATTGAGTCCTACTCGAATCTTATGGACCTTCAGATCTTTGCACCGTTCGCGTTCATGAATGCCGCTGAGCTAATTTTGTCTAACTGGTCAATAATGAATATCAGGAAGAGAAGTGGACCTAAGATGATTTCATGTAAAAGTCCTCATGGTGAGACTCACCAGCTTGCTTTCACTCTATTTACCTTGGTTCAAAACTTTATATTCTCAAGGTAGTTTCTGAACCAAGACAGAAGTGAGTCATTGAAGCCCATTTCCTCAACCTTCGCTATCTGGCGTGTGTGAGATAGTGTGTTGAAAAGTTTTGCAAAGTCAAGAAATATTATGTACACCAGTGTTTGTCCGTTCCAGTAGGTTGTCTAGATGTCCTATGCTATGAAAGGATTGAATGAAGATGACCTGCCTTTCCGAAACTCTTGTTGAGCTTCATGGTGGACTTGGTTCTTATCCACGTACCTTCCTCACCTGCTCGTTCATCAGCCCTTCCATTACCTTCGATAGTATTGGTAGTAATGCAACTAATCTGTAATGGGCTGTTTCAAAACTACTGGGCGAATGCTCCCACATCCTAGTGACTTTCTTGGGCAAAGGGATTTTAGTTTTCTCAGTACTAAGTCAGGAGTACGTCGGGTAAGCTCTAGGCCGTCAGCTGGCACTAGGTTACATTAGTACTCTGAACGTGTAGGTATTTGGTTTAACTGATCAATGAAGTTAGTGTTAAATATCTCATCCATCTCTAGGTTTGTCAGATCTTCACCATGCGGACCTTTGATGGCACAAACACTCTGGTTCTTGGGCTTTATGTTAGTCATGAACCTAAACAGATATTTTGGGTTTGTCTGTATTTCAACAGCTAGCTTCATCCGGAAGTGTCTCCTGTCGTTTCAAACTTTGGCATAGCATCTGTTTCTCAGTGCCAAGTAAAAACTACGGTCGAAATCCTCCAAAGAGACGATCCACTTGCTCCAGGCTCTCCTCTTCGCTCGTGGCAACCATTCATTGCCTCGCCTAACCATGTTCTCCTCTTTCTCAGTATGATACGTGCCTGAGGTACGTTATTTAAGACATCGTCCTTGATGATGTCTCTCACTGTTTTCCAGTGATCGTCTGCTTTTAGCCTCCACCATTCTCCTGTCCATGGGGAGTGTAGAAGATACTCTCTCGCGAACGTGTAACTTGCCATATTACAACAGAATCAGGCCTCATTTTCGTCCAGCCTGAGTGTTTCGTTGACGAGCGTGTTAAACAAGATTGTGTCATGGTCACTACTTACTGCCGGTGTATGTATGTGAACATCCTCGACCAGGAGCTAACCACTTGTTAACAAATAATTCAAGCTTGGAGATTTTTCATCGTGTATCAATGTAGTTGTTGGATGTCTTTTTCCTCCTATTCTTACTTTGGGAATCGGAAAGATTGTATCCTCTATTTTTTTTTTGTTGCAGTCCCAGTGGAGGTGTTTTAGTCGAGTGATCCGAATTATGCACATTACTGCGAAGTAAACTATCGAGTGACTTTTTCCAGTTTTTTCAAAACTCTATGTCTCGAGACCTTTATTTTCGACTCACTACTAACCCCGGAATTCATACCTGGACTAGTTTTCCTATTTGTTATATTGTAGGAAATGATAGTAACGTTATGTTTGAACATGTTACCTGAGAGGTTTAAGTACAAAAAACGAGATAAGTTGAAGAGACCAATACGCGGGAAAATATTTTTTGGAGGAGGATAATAATAATATTCAATTTAAATGTAGTCCATTTGGTTGCGCTGCATACATGCTCACAAATCCTAGAACTTCTGTTGTCTGCGTCAAGTCGTCTTCGCTACTAAGCAGTGGGAGTTGTGGCTTTTTTGCTAAGATT